TCTTTCCATGATAAGGCTTCCACCTTGGCTCAGTCTGGCTGTTACCTGAAAGCAGTAAATTGCACTCAGTTCTCGTCTGCCTCCCTATAGTTTCCTTTAACCAGCCACAGCTCTGCCCCTAGAGGCCACAGGAGTCTTATCTGTAGCCTCTGAAACTTGGACATAGTGGCCGTGTCCCCAGGTCTGGCCTGGAAGGCAAGCATCTCGGGGACAATCCCACAGTTTCTAGGCTGAAAGGGCTCTTGCCATTCCACAGGTCTAATCTGTTTGCCTTTGCTACAGAACTTGACCCAGAGTTTTCTGTGGAAGTTTTCACAGAAGCACCGGTGCCTGGGGAAAACAGACCCCCCCACACACACTCACCTTCCTTACTAACTGTGAATCCTGTAAAGGAATGTGACTGATCAAGTCTAATAAGGAGCATGTATTGAGCACCTACTACATGCCAAGCTCTTGTATTAGAGTTGTGTTGTCCAAAACAGTAGCCTCTAGCCTCACATGTCTACTGAGCACTAGAAATGTGGTTAATACAACTGAAGAACTAAATTTTCCATTTTATTCAGTTTTAATCTAACTTTTAAAACGGAAGCAGTGTAAAATATTCTTCTTAAAATATTTGCTAAGAACATATTTATTGTTTTGGTAAGACAACATTTAATTGTGACTGTCAAACTTTTAGCATCCAAACTGAGATGTACTATAAGTGTAAAACACACACCAGGTTTCAAAGACTTAAGTACCCCAAAACAGGGAAAACATGTCGTCAAAATTTTTCACATTGATTCTATGATGAGATAATAATATTCTGAGTATACTGGGCTAAATAAAATTTATTATTAAAATTAATTCCAGCTGGGCTCGGTGGCTCAGCCTGTAATCCCGCGTCTTTGGGAGGCTGAGGTGAGTGGACTGCCTGAGCCCGCGGGTTCGAGACCCGCCTGGGCAGGCGAGACCTCATCTCTATGATAAATCAAAAAATCAGCCAGGCGTGGTAGCGCATGCCTGTAATTCCGGCTACTCGGAAGGCTGAGGCAGAAAGAGTGACTGCACTCCAGTCTGGGCGACAGAGTGAGACCCCAACTCAAAAAAAAAAAATTAATTCCACCTGCTTCTTTTTATCCTTTTTAATATGGTTTCTTGATCATTTAAAATTACATATCTGCCATTCCATTTCTGTTGGCTAGTGCTGGACTGATCACTTTTACATCTACCCTTAAATCTGAAACATCTGCACAGACATGTTTCTTTCCTAATCCTGCCACACTGGCACATGCACATGAGAATCCCAGACTTGGCACAACCTCTCTTGCCTTTGATTGGAATGCCCTCTCCACCCTCAACCTAGCCCTCAAATGCCACCTCCTAAATGGAGCCCTCCCAGACTCCTTCCATCAAAACTGGCCCCTCCCTGCCTTACTCTTTCCCCCTGGTGTCACCTTACACACTGCCCCGGCCATCAGAGGGACTTTGGACTTGCCAGTCTTGCCCACCAGCCCACTCTCTATGACTGGACCCTGTCACTGCCCTCCCCTATTCTGAAGTCTGGGCAGGAGAGCGGCCCCAGGAAATGCCCATGGGACAAGACCGTAGTCCAAGCTGGAAATGACTGCAAGCAGAGGACTGAGGACCCAAATCTACTTTGCAAAGCCTCAGTCACCTCATCTGAAAAATGGGGGTGGGGGCCCTTGGCTGTCTTCCCTGTGGCCTTTCAATGCCTCTCTTATCCCATGACTTGCTGCTGAGGCTCCTGAAAAAAATGGCACCGTCCCAGACACTAGCACCCTCATAAATCCCTGGTCTGCAGCCTTCATGGGCTGGCCTCCAAGGGCTGGCCTCCAACATGCCAGCAGTTGCCCTGCATTTCCTGGCGGCTGGTTCTTACTCTCTCTGTTCTCCTCACACCTCTGACCTTCAGGTCTTACTGCACTCTCTGCAGCATCCAGCCTGCTGATCGTGCCCTTTGGCTTGAAACTCTTGCCCACTGTCCTCAGGCTCTGTCCAGTCCCAGGCTATTCCACTTCCCAAGAGCCTCTCTGGAGGGCCTGAGGGGCAACAAGTAGGGGACAATACCAGGGAGCTGAGGTTTGTAGTCCCTCCCGCTCCTCCTGACTCCCCAGTCCACACCAGTGTGTGGCTTTGCCAATGTCATGGAGCTCTGTGGGGCCTCAGTCACCTCCCCTAATAAAACGTGGGTGGCAGGCCAGGAAGGATGGCTCATGCCTATAATCCCAGCACTATGGGAGGCTGAGACAGGAAGACCGCTTGAGTCCAGGAGTTTGAGTAGCAAGGTCTTGTTTCTACAAAAAGTAAACATTTTTAAAAAGTGTGGTGGCACACGCCTCTAGTCCCAGCTATTTGGGAGGCTGAGCCAGAAGGATCACCTGAGCCCAGGAGGTCAAAGCTGTGATCAGCTACGATCGTGCCACTGTACTCTGAAACAGAGTAAGACTTCGACTCAAAAAAATCAAATAAAATGGTGGTGGCGATCTCTGCCTCCTCACCTGCTCCTGGAGCCAATGCAGGGATCCAGGAAGATGCAGAGAGAGAGGATGGTAAAGGCCAGAAGGAGGCGCTATGTGATGCTCTCCCCAGTCCCTTCCCTGCTATGAGCAAGGACATTTCCGCACGGCTCAGTCACATACACTCTCAGCAATGCAGGGCAGGAGAGGGAGGCTCTGGTTGCTGCTTGCATTCATCCCTACTCTTTCCACTCCAGTAAGCTTCCAGGACCATGAAGCCACTCTCCCTTAGCCCACAGACCACTGATTGGACCTCCCAAGTCTTCTTGGGATGAGACTCTACCATAAATTTTGTAACTGGAAGGATCTCAAGGATCACCCAATCCTGCATGTGATTCTTGATATCCTGGAACAGCAGCCTGTCAAGTGGCCACCTAGTATGTGCTCACATGCTCCTAGAGATGGGATACTCGCTGTCTTCCAAGGTCACTCTCATGGGTATAAAATTCTGTCTTTCATTGAGCTGAAATTGCCTCTGCATCTGCCACATATGGCCCTTAAGGCCACACAACAAAGTCTCATTCCTCTCTCCTTCCAAGTCAGTCCTCCAAATACTTAAAGCCAACAGTCCAGTCCTGCTTATTCTGCTCTTCTTTGTGCCAAAGAGATCCTGGGCCTTGAAGTGTTCCCCAGGTGCTGTATCTGATCCCTCTTCACCCAGGTTATGCTCATCTGGACACAGTCCAATTTGTCATTGTCCCTCTTAAAGGTCAACACCCCCAAACGGGCCACAGTCCTCAGGGAATGATCTGACCAGCACAGAGCGGCACACAAAACCAACATCACTCACGTTCCGACCACTCTACACTTTGTAAAGCAGCTTGAGAAGCCAAACTGCTGATCAGCGGCTGCAACCCAATTCAGCACTCCATGAGCATAGTCAAACAATGCCCCCAGGCTGGGCGCATGGTTCACGCCTGTAATCCCAGCACTTGCTTTGAGCTCAGGAACTCAGACCAGCCTGGGCAACATAGTGAGACTTAATTAAAATTAAAAAGTAATGAAAATTTTAAATAATGTCCGCAAACCAGGACTTGTCTGTCTGGAGGGAAACATCAAACTCGATTTGTTTTAATTTCTCCAAAAATCTCTGCCTGAATCCCTCAGCCTCTGTGGGAGCTTCACACAATCCATCCCTCCACCCTGATCAAACACAGCCAGGTCCCAGTGTGGGCACATCTGCTGCGAGTCCAGGTGACAGTGGGAGAAAAGATGACACCATCCGCGCCATAAACCAACAGAGATGGCAGGCCCACTGCCTCCTGCAGCAACACAGCACAGCAACCCACTGAGTTAAAGACTTCTGACATCTGCTCAGGAGTGTCGGGAGCAGGGGGAAGAGGAGAGGCAGGTTCCAAAAGCCATGAATCATCCCCACGCGCCCCACAGCTCCAAACAGAGGCCAGGCCCAGCTTCTGCCCTGCCTGGCACACACAGACCACAGGCCAATCTACGGCTGGGCCGACTCAATTTTCTAGTTACAGATCTTAAGTAGTTCGGCATGTGCTCACGAGAACACACATCCCTTACACAGAGCTGAGAAAGGGAATTGTGCCGAGGAACAGAATAATTGAATCAAGATTTCTGTCACGCTGCTCTGAGGCCCTAGACCACAGCCCGGGTTCTTTTATCTTTTTTTTTTTTTTCTTTTTCCCTTTCCTGACTAAGGGTTTACAGTCTCCCAGGGGGTCGTTTCTCCTCTCAAACCCGTTAATGTCAGCCAGCAGCGGTGGCAGCCCATTCGGGAGGAAAAAGAGACCCTGGTTAAGGTGTCCCATGTCCAGGATGGAGATGGCCGATTCTGGGGACCCAGGTGGCTCCCGGAACACTGAAGGGTTGAAAAAAACCAACCGGGAAGATTGTCATCTTTGTAATCCCCCTGAGGCCCCTGCACTCCTTCCTTCCAGACCCAAGGACAAGAATGAAATGACTATTAATTTCCTCAACCCTCAACCATCCCCAGGACTGGAAGGCCTTCTCTGCTGAGAGGTGGGCACAGCCTCCCAGAGAAGTCACTGCCTGTCCCTCTCCCAAGTGTGCCCCTCCCTCTGCAGGACAGAGCAGGGAGGGGCTGCTTTGCCCAGCCCCCTCCCTTGTCTTTCTTCTTTCTCTCTCTTTCTCTCTCTCTCTCCCTCTCTCCTTCCCCTCTCCAAGGTTCCCTCACAAAGGACTCAGACCCCTGCACGCCCAGCCCTTGGGAGCATATCTGCACACACAGGGTCTTCTTGGCCACATATCTCAGACCACAGGGCTCTGCTTTCTCTGCCCAAGGAGGGGCCACAGGGGAGGCCAGCAAGGATTCCACAGCCCCCCGTGCTGCTTGGCCGTCCCCGCGGGGGGCTCAGCCCCTTCCCGTGTGGGCCAGGACTCCGCGCCTCTGCAGGTCAGGGTATTCGCGGGCACCCTGGCTGCCCCTCCCGACCGAGCGCCCCAAACAGGCGCCGTCGGGTCCGTCTGCCTGGGTTGCTCCACCTCTCTTACCTTCATCTCTCTTGCGCTTGTTGGTGTCAGCGCCGGGGGAAGTGATACCCAGGATGCCGCTGATGGAGTACGACGAGCCGGCCGAGTCCGTGCTCACCGACGACACCTGCGTCACGGAGCCCGTGGACACTGCGCAGAGGGAGAGGGGCGATCAGGGCCGGCAGGAGGGCGGAGGGGCGGGCGGGGCACTCACCGCAGGGGGCGGCTACGGAGGGAGGGGAGTGCGGGTGCCAGGACATTTGCCCTCTGGGGCGGCCACGCCTGGACCAGGAAAGCCAGCCTCTGGTCATTCGCCCATGTTCTCTGCTGCTGGAGGAGGAAGGGCAGGGCAGGCACTGAGGAGGACCATGGAGGAAGAGACACAGGGACAGAGCGGAAAGGGCCGCAGCTCAAATCCGGGCCTGTCTGAGGATGCAGGGAGCAGGGCATAGAGATGAGAAAGAGGGAAGCCTTGGCCCCACACCAGCCAGTGCAAAAACAAAAGCAAACAAACAACAGCAACAAAAAAGGAGACTTCTCTTTAGGCATCTGTGTCCCCTGCTTGCAAGCCCACCCTTGCGGGCAGACATAAACACCTGCCCACACACTCACACAGTCAACAAAACTCCAGAGGCCTGCACCTTCTTTTCGCAGCTCATCCCCATCTTTTCTCCTCCAAGTTGATCTGAATGTGATTTTTAATGTTAATTATGACAACAGTGACAACCAACATTTTCTGATAACCTACTCTATGCCAGGCAACCAGGCACTATCTCATTTAATTCTGAGAACAATCTTATGAGCTAGGTAATGTGATTATCCCATTGGAAAGGTAAGGGAACCAAGGCTCAGGGGCAGTAAGTGACTCACCCAAGATCACGCAGCTAATAAGAGGTAGAATGGTGACTGGAACCCAGAAATTAAAGTCTTAAGCCCCATAACCAATTTGCACCTCACTAATAAATAATGAAGAACAATAATATACTTTCTATTAATGCAGTGTTTTTCATTTGATGATTGCAACAGCCCAGAGTGCTATTATTTATCTCCTTTCATTTTTTTGAGTCAGTGTCTCACTGTGTTTCCCAGGCTGGAGTGCCGTGGTATGATCACAACTCACTGCATCCTTGACCACCTGAGCTCAGGCAATCCTTCTGCCTCAACATTCTGGGTTCAGGTGATCTTTCTGCCTCAGCCTCCCAAGTAGCTGGGACTACAGGTGATTGCCACCATGCACAGCTGATTTTATTTATTTATTTATTTATTTATTTATGTTGGAGTCTCACTCTGTCACCCATACAGGAGTGCAGTGGCATGCTCACAGCCTCTGCAGCCTCAACATGCTGGGCTCAGGTGATCCTTCTCCAAACCCTGGGCTCAGGCAATCCTCTCGCCTCCACCTCCCAAAGTGCTGGGATTACAGGCATGAGCCACTACGCCCAGCTTTTTTTTGGTAATTGTTTGAGAGACAAGTTCTTACTATGTTGATCAGGCTGGTCTCGAACCCCTGGGCTCATGCAATCCTTCTGCCTCAGCCTCCCAAAGTGCTGGGATTACAGGAATGAGCCACCACACTTGGCCTTAATGCCATTTATTGAATGAGGAAGCTGAGGTTCCATGAGGTGCTGCGATTCAAAGTCATCTAGGTGGTAAGCAGCAACGCTAGAACTTAGCCTTGGATCTACTGCCTCTAGATTTCCAGGGACCAAAAAGAGAACCAAACTTCACCTGAATGACAATCACTTATCTAATCCTGAAGTGTACCCCACATCTGTAGAATACAATTTAAAAGAGAAAAAGCCTAGGTTTCCCCTGCTCAGAAACAGAGGCAGAGGTTGGGGACTTATTGTGACTGAAACCAGGTCTCCATGTCCCTAAGAATAAGAATGGAGGGAGGAGCTGTTGTGCAAGTTTCACATTAACTCCTGGCCCCAGAGTCCAGGGGAGAGACCCGTCCCTCACCAATGTCCTCTCCAGCTGTACAGCCAAACTGCTGCTTCTAGGCTGTGGGAATTCTTTGTTGGTTCATTAAAACCTACAGACCCATTTCAGACACATTTTCTTGGGCTATAACTGGCTGCAGGCAGGTGGAGCCGCCTTTGCCTCTAACATGCACAAAAATACTAGAAATGGTGGTGACTGCATGAGAAGCCTTCTGTGGCTTTCCTTGGAACAGATCCAGCTCTTTGCTTTACAGACCTAAGGGAAACAGAGCCTTTCTTCTTATATTTCAGTGTGATTTTAGATCTTCTTTAGGAGACACAGAAATCAGCTGGGCGCAGTGTCTCATATCTGTAATCCCAGCACTTTGGGAGGCAGAGGCGAGAGGACTGCCTGAGCCCAGGGGTTCGAGACCAGCTTGGGCAACTTGGTGAGATCTCGTCTCTACAATAAATTTTTTAAAAATTAGCTAGGCATGGTGGCATGCACCTGTAGTTCCAGCTACTTGGAAGACTGAGACGGAGAGATCAGCTGAGTCCCAGCAGGTTGAGGTTGGACTGAGGTTGAAGCTGCAGTGGCCTTGAGCATGTCACTGCACTCCAGCCTAGGCAGAGTGAGACTCTGACTCAAAAAGAAAAAAAAAGAAAGAGAGAGAGACACACACACAGAAATCATTAACTTCTCTTTTTCTTCAGCAGAAGTTCCTCAAAATAGATTTATGCAAATCTCACATTTTCTGTATTAAGATGCAAAAAACAGAGGAAGAAAGAAGATCCCACATCACTTGGTACTTTAAACAACAACCACCACAAACCAGGGCTCACCCTGCTGCCAACAGAGCCCATGACATTCCTTTTGTGTTTTGTGACAGTTCTTGGCTCAAAAGACCCAGATTCCAGTTCCGGCTCCACCTCTTACTGGCAGCACAACCTCTAAGTTTCATTGTCCTCCCTCCTCAACAAGTTTGTGAACTCTAAGGGGCTGTATACATGTGAGATGTCATTTTAATAAAAATTTCTGAGACAACACAAAGCATTCTGCTGACCTACAGTAGTACTGTTCCTCTAAACCAATGAAAAGAATATTAGCAGTTCCTTCTAGTGTAATTTTCATTACCACGTGACCAGAAATAGTTAAAGTCACAGGTGAAGTCTCAGCCGCCCACATTCCCCCAGGAAGCCTTCCTCAACCCTCTGCACCCCAGCCCAAAAGAGCTGATGGTTCCCTCCCTTCTGCTCCCTCAGCGCCCCGTGGCTTTTTCTTAAACTTCGTCTCAGTGTTTGGCAAACTTCTCTTCATTAGACTGAGCAGCCCTTGAGAATGGGGATTTTGTCCTGCCTCCTCTGTGCACCATCAGCCTAGCAGGAGCTCAGCAAACGCTTTCTGAAGGGATAACTAAATGAAGAATTATTTCATGGCAGGGAGAAATTCTGTCTTACCTTTATCCAAAGAGGCAACCATGGAGGATCAGAGACCAGGTGTGTGCCCCTCCATCCACAAATGAGGAAACTGAGGCTTGGAGGGATGAACGGATTCTCACAGTTTACTGGGTGAGTTAATGACAGAGTTGAAGCTAAGAGGGAACAGCCCTTGCCTGTTCCCCATCACCAAGGGGGTTCAGGTTTTCAGATAAAGAGGGAGCAGCAAAGATGTGGAAATGTCACACAATCTGAGGTGTGAATACACAGAATTAACTGTGGCAACCAGAACCGCCAGAGGCTTGCTGAATGGCCACTCACTTTCTTAGAGGGGAATAACTTCTCTCCCGTTTCCTTGTTTCCTTTCTTCCTAAGCGGAGAAAGAATATACCTTAAACAGACACGTGTCATTTCACAATCTTTAAAAGGAAGGCAAAGGACATTTCTGAACTCCTGACTAGTAGAGAAATAGGACTCCTGCCCTTACGAGTCACAGTCGCTCTCAGACTTGACTGTGAGCATCAGAAACCCCACTGGCAGCCTTGATACTTCACGGAGTCCATGAGACCGAAGCGAGAGAGAGAAAGAAAGTTTGGGAACTTTTGCCACATCTTCACTCAAGACTGCAAGTGCACAAAGAATTGTAGAAGGGCTGGTTGATAGAAGAAAAAAAACACATTCAAAACTACTTACTGACTAATGATGCAGAAAATGTTATGAATAAGTATCCCTTTCTTGATTTATTACTTTAATTATCTGACATTCTATAGACCCCCATTAGCGGATTTTTTTTTTTTTTTGGCTTAGATTTCAATTTTCTGTCTCATGGTGAAAGCTATTTATCATAATAATCAGTAAAATTCAAAACCTTTTAGCAGTATTTATAAAATTCATTTACCAGGTTCAGCCCTTGGAGAATGACAAAGAAGGAGCATTAGTACGTGTGCCGAAGTGTTTTATGCAGAATTATCTGTCCATAAGAATGATTAAAAGTTCTTTAGAATATTTGGAGCCCATTAGATTTTTAAATTTTTTTTAAAAAGTTTTTCTTACCTATGCTGTGACTGGAAGCTGGGACTGGCTGGTTAGGTGGCTGCTGTACTTTCGTCCGGATGATCCTGCAGGTATTTGGGGAAAAAAAAAAGGCTATTCACCATGAGGAAGGAGGGACCTCAACCAGCTTTGCACAGACAACCAGTAAACCCATGCCCACGTTGGGTTGTGGACTGAGCTGGGGCGGAGGGGCAGAGGTGGGGGAAGGTTAAGACACCAGGTTGGGAGTCAGGAGGTTGGATGAATTATAGACTAATCTCCATTCAGCCCCTGTCTCACTGGGTGTCTTATAGTCACTAGCACCCTCTCTCTGGGATTCAAGGGCCTCTTTGAAGAAAGAGGATGACATGTTAATGTTATAGGTAAACATTCCTTTCTCAGGTATAGCTTCAACTCCAAAAAGGACTCACTGTGTGACTTTGAGTTGTTCCCTTCCCTAAACCTCAGCCTCCCATCTGTGGAATGAAGGCACTGGGCCAGTTAGCTCCTCTGTCCTCTGGCAGCTCTCACCTGCTGGCTTCTTTGTTCTGGAGAGCCCATGAGAAAGAGTAATACCCCAGCCTCCAGGAAATTGCCAAGGGAGGGAATGTATGTGTTGCTCTGAAACTGAGGAGTGATAAAGTGCTTCCAGGAGACACCTGGCTTGACTTTGCTAAGAGGAAGCCCACCTCACACAAAACCTTTCAGAAAGGATCCACGGAGCTGAAGCCAGGGATATCCTGGCCTGTCTTTCCAGAGATCTTGCTCAAGTTCTAATACGAACCCGACTGTGACCTTGAGCAAGTCCATTCCATTGTAGACCTCAATACAGTGAGGGAGTTGGAACTCACCACTCTTCATTTATTTTAAGTAATTAAATACTTTACCAAAAAAAGTCTTATGGAAAAGCCCAGTCAATAAAAGATATAAGAGTGGTACTGCCTTCCCTTTGCCACCTGGCAGCTCTGAAGTTCTGCAGAAACCTGGGCCCTGAGAAGTGTGGTGTGTAGACTTCCAGCTGGGACAATGCTTGGGGCCTCCAGGAGAACACAACACTAGCGCATCTCAGAGCAGCAGAGCAGGGCCAGGCTGAAAGTCCCTTGGGATCTACAGGAAAGGTCCTTCGTTGGCATTTGGGAAAAGAGTGAGTTGTAATAAAATGTTCAGCTACTTTGGAAAAGTTCTATTCCTTCCTCAAACTATTACCTTTTTAAAAGAATGTTTACTAGAGTTTGTTTCTTATTATAAAAGTAATATAATTGTAGACTATTTGGACAGCATAGAAAAGTGGAAAGAAGACATCGAAAAATCACATTTCGGAATGTTCCTTTATGCCAACATTCCTCTGCATACTTAGAAATATCCATTTTCCTCTTAACAAAATCAGGATTAAACCACATATACAGTTTGCCTCCTGCTTTTCTTCTTTTCTTTTTTATTTTGTCTGTTTGCTTGTTTTTGAGTTAAGAGTCTCACTTTGTCACCCAGGCTACAGCGCAGTGGCACACTGCTCATGGCCACCACAGCCTGCACCTGCTGGGCTCAGACAATCCTGCCACTTCAGCCTTCCAAGTAGCTGGAACTACTGGTGTGTCACCATGCCTGGCTAATTTTTTTTTTCAATTGTAGAGATGAGGTCTTGCCAAGTTGCCCAGGCTGGCTTCCAACTCCTGAACTCAGGCAATCCTCTCACCTCTGCCTCCCAAAGTGCTGGGATTACAGGCATGAGCCACCACTCCCGGCTTGCTTTTTTTCATGCAACAGTCTATGAGAAGTTTTTTCACATTCCAGATCATTCTCTCTGGAAGTTCACTTCAGGGCTGTGCTAGGTCTCCAGTGTGTATGAATGAAGAAGAAAGACAGAAGTAGCAGGCATCTCCCCTTAAACTCATGGGCCAGGAACCTCTGCCCTCTGACCTTACAGTCTGGTGCCAGACACCAAGGGCACACTGTGTCCTCAGCTGATAGCCTGAGATAAGCTTTTTTGTTCGCCTTAAAGTCTAATCACACACACTGGGACCGTGGAACCACTTTGCCCTTTTCTGATGAATCAGTTTGAGTGTTGCCTTAAATACCTTTAGAGTGTTTGTTTGTTTGTTTGTTTTCTCCAATATTTGAACCACTGATTTTAACTAAGCAAACTCAGAGCCTATTGGGCAAAGATCTGGGAGTGAGGCAGTCGTTTTGACCAACTGGAATTAAGCTGGCCTCTGATCTAATTGTTATTTTTGTATATGTCACATTCTCTGTGTGTATATGTGTCTACAGAGATATTGCTAGATATGTGAATGTATGGATATACCAGATATAGTTTATTTATATATAAATATATAACAAAATATATCACTGTTGTTCAGTTTAAAGAATTGACTTTTCAGGCCGGGCTCGGTGGCTCAGCCTGTAATCCTAGCAGTTTGGGAGGCCAAGGCGAGTGGATTGCTTGAGTCTGTGAGTTCGAGACCAGCCCAGGCAACTTGGCAAGCCCTCATCTCTATAATAAATCAAAAAATTATCCGGGCATGGTAGCACATGCCTATAGTTCCAGCTACTTGGAAGGCTGAGGCAAAAGGATCACCAGAGCCCAGCAGGTCGATGCTGGAGTGGTCATGAGTGTGCCACTGCACTCCAGCCTAGGCAACAGAGTGAGACTCCAACTCAAAAAAAAAAAAAAAAAAAAAAAAAGAATTGACTTTTCAAAGCACTGTCTGGCTATCAAATTTGTACATAAGCAAAGGAAATTATGTTTTCCTCATTTTTCTTTTAAAGTATTTATAAATACCGCTGGTAAAGCATTCTCAATTGTTATAAATCATTGAGAGGCAACTACACATAGTGGTTAAGTGTGCAGGCTCCGGAACCAGAATACTAGAGCTTGAATCCCATCCTTGCAATGTACCAGCTATTTGACCTTGGGCAAATGACTTAACCTCTCTGTGCTTCAGTCTCTGCATCTACAAAATGGGACTAAGAATCATTCCTATCACACAGGGTTATTATTAGAACTAAATTGATTAACTACTTAGAACAGTGGTTGCTGCATAATAGGTACTCAATAAACATTAGATGTTATTTTCAGTAGTGTCTTCATAAAAATGAATGGACTAGCTTTAACCTTAAAGTGTTCATATTTTTTACAACTGCCTTAAAAGACACATGTAGTCGCCTTGGAAGCTGGGGAGGGAAGGCAGCCATCCTCATACCCTAGTTTAATTCTCCTTTAGGGGAGAATCCCAGAATTCTATGGTATCTTCCCAAGCTGTCCCCAGAGGTGAGAGGTTTTTGCCCATCCGTTTGCAGCAGCCACCAAATAAAAACAAAGAGCATCATGTTACATTGGAAAGAAATCGTAGTGGAAAGAATAAGACTGTAAGTGAATTATAGCAATTGTGAAAAAAATTAAAAATTTTAAAATGTCAGTCTATCACCAAGACTCATCACAATAAGAGCACACTCAGGCTGGACACAATGGCTCACACCTGTAATTCCAGCACTTTGGGAGGCAGAGGCGGCGGATTGCCTGAGTCCAGGGGTTCAAGACTAGCCTAGGCAACTTGGAGCAAACTCATCTTTACAATAAAATTTTTAAAAAAATTTAACCAGGCATGGTAGCACATGTCTGTAGTTTCAGCTACTTGGGAGGCTGAAGCTGAAGGATCGCCTGAGCCCAGCAGGTCAAGGTTGCAGTGACCCTCGGCATGTCACTGCACTTCAGAATGCAGACTCCTACTCAAATACACACACACACACACACAGACACACACACACACACACACACACACACACAGGACCATGGATGAGGAAACTGAAGACCAGAGTGCTCAAGTGACTTGCCCAGAGTCACACAGCAAGTTAGCCCAGACACCCAGCTCCTATGCCTGAGCACTTTTCTGTGAGCCACATGCAAAGGACATAGTCTCTCTACTAAATACTTCCTATATGAGGCATACAGCCTACCTGGATTCAACATCCATTTAGAATTTGAGTTCTAAAACTCCAAGGGACTTTATATATTACAGGCATTTAAGGATCCCATGTAGACAACACTCCCCCTCCTTTGAAAGGCTAGACCTTCTCACCATCATCCCCCACCCCCCACTCATAAAATTAAATTGAAAGCCGGGCTCGGTGGCTCAGCCTGTAATCCCGCGCCTTTGGGAGGCTGAGGTGAGTGGATTGCCTGAGCCCGCGGGTTCGAGACCCGCCTGGGTGGCGAGACCTCATCTCTACAATAAATCAAAAAATTAGCTGGGTGTGGTAGCGCGCGCCTGTAATTCCAGCTACTCGGAAGGCTGAGGCAGAAGGATCACCGGAGCCCAGCAGGTCGAGGCTGCGGTGGCCGGGAGCGGCCACTGCACTGCACTCCAGTCTGGGCGACAGAGTGAGACTCCAACTCAAAAAAAAAAAAAAAATTAAATTGAAAGAGAAAATCATGGTGTCTTGAGAAAGAAAATGGGGACGATAAGGCTACAGAAACACCCACATCTACCACACAGTTCAAAATGCCGTCAGTGCAGTAAGAGGTTTGGGCCAACAGCTGTGCTGAGAATCCAAAACCCAGGGCTAGAGGGGGCCCTCAGGTGGAACCCAAGCCTGTGACTGCTGTAGAGAATAGAGTATGGATAAACAATCTCAATTTTGGCTTTCCACCAAAATGAGGATTAGGAGCAGATAACAAATCGTCTTCCCCAGACTACATCCAGCCCCAGACAAGTTTTGTCTGACCTGCACAGTATATTTATTTTTGTTTGAATTGGTGGCTCACATTAGTAAGTTGGGAGATTTTTTAGAAATCTGATTTCTAGTTTCCCTTGAAAAATCAGAACACCAAGCAATACCAGCTCCCCATTCTCACATGACAACAACTAGCTGGTGTTAAATAGAGCAGACCTTCTAAACTGGGACTGTCACTCATAGTCCCTCCTCCCTGGCCCTTGATTTAGAGCCATGGGACTGGAGTAGAAGAAGGAAGACCCCACTGCACCCACCCTTGGGTCAGCTCTGGGGTGGTTACCTCTAGCTGACACTCAGACTGGATTCCAAGCACTCCTCATGTGGGTTGTACAACATCCCAGCACATATTTGTCCTTAAGAAGACATATGAGGACAGGCATGGTGGCTCAAGCCTATAATCCCAGTACTTTGGGAGGCCGAGGCGAGAGGATGGCCTGAGTTTGGGGGTTTGAGACCAGCCTGGGCAAATTGGTGAGACCTTGTCTCTACAATAAATAAATAAACAAATAAATAAGCTGGGCGTGGTAGCACACACCTGTAGTTCCAGCTACTTGAAAGGCTGAGGTGGAAGGATTGCCTGACCCCAGCAAGTTGAAGCAACGATGGCCATGAGCATGCCACTGCACTCCAGTCTGGGTGACAGAGTGAGACTCTGACTCAAAAAAAAAAAAGGAAGGCACATGAACAGGTGGTTTGTGCCCCAGGGAATTACCCACAAGTCTAGCAGAGCTAGATCAGTGTTGCTTAACCCCATGCCAGTCATGGTTCCCCAGATAGGTTTTCCCTGAAAACAGCTGGAAGGTATACCCTTCTAGTAGCGGACAGTGGAGAAGACCCCTATGGCCACCAGAATAGCTTCAAATCTAGCCACTGCTCCCTCCTCAGCTGTTGGAAATAGGGGAGACTGAGAAGCTGTCTCCCAAGGAGACGGGCTGGAGAGAGAGGTGGATCCTCTTGAAGGGTAGGGAGGAGAAGCTGCCCTCATCTGAACGCGATGGGCTTTTTGCCTTCAGATGGAAAATAAAACCGGATGTAGGATGGATCCAGTTTCCTAGGGGCAGCAGGTGAGGAACACAGTAGCATGAGATTGCCCCACACTTAGCTGTCACTGAAGAGTACAGAGAGAAGCTAGCAGTGCTCCCAGAGAGGAGAACCTCGCTAAGGATGAGAGGGAGCGGCAGACAGGCAGCAAAATGTCAACCAGCCTGCAAGGGTCTGTAACAGAGAGAGCGAGACTGTTGTACTCCCCTTTGCCTCTCTTATCATGGATACTCAGCTCTGTCACCTGCAGAGTCTGACAGGATGGTGGTGGAAAGAGACTGGCCCTCCTCTTATCATCAGGAAACCCGAGCCCATGTCTATCTCAGAGTCACTGTTCCTCTGCATCCCCATACAGGCCTCAGTTTCTGTACCTGCCACAGGATAGAGTCAGACCTTGAGAACCGTCAGAGACCACAGATGTGAACGCACCTTACAGGCAGGGTCAGCCAGGCCACGGCTTTGGATTGGACCCCTAGGAGGCCTCTGAGGTTAGCCATGGCCCCAGCAGCAAGCGGGCAGAACCTCCACACAGCACAGCTCCAGGAAGAAAGTATCTGTTGTCCCGTGATGTCCCCAGGTCACCCACTGAACTCCCCTGCGCAGCCTCTGCCACCATGTGACCACTGGTCTATTCAGTACACAGGTTTCTTTCACATAATTCACTTTTTGCCTTAAATACGTTTATTTTATAAGCCAATTATAGTTCCCTACTGTAAGGTGGGGGGTGAGTTTACAAAACTCAAAACTCACTGGTTTGGTGTGCTGCTTATATTTTTTTGAAATATATGAAGACAAATGCATTACAAAACTATCTTCATCGTTGCATTATGACATGTATAAACTGGTGCTCGGTAAATCGGTTATGTTTGTCCTGCAAGGCATCCTTTAACTGAAATTAGTTGCCTCCATTTAAACACGTAGAGATTCCATATACGCAAACATGCCTACATTCGTACATGCAAGTCTGTTTCTGGTTCCTCCTGAAGAAGGAAAAATTCTGTCCAAAACTGGGCCTGTGCTCCTGGCAGCATTCAACTGGAGCCGAGAAACACCTGCTCCCTTAACAGCACTTGTGCTGCTGGTTTGCCAGGAACCCAAAAGCCCCCTATCATCTTCCGTCTGGTCTGCTTCCCTCATTACCTTGTCTGCCTGGCCCCAAGGAAGGCATTAGAGTTTGTGACCCCCATGGACCACCTAAGGTTATCTCATGAACCACCAATTATATATGTACCCCATGTCGGGAAACCTGTGGGCCCCCAAAGCCTGACTGGAGGTTTGACGGACGCTTCATGTTGATTTGTGCCATGGAAATCCTACAAGGAGCCACACCCTGGAGGCTCTCACATCGTCCAGAAAAATCACAGGTGTCATTCCCCCACAAAACTCACCGCCATCATTGCTGCCTCCTCAGTAATTGTGTCCAGACAGTTCAGACTTCTAAGTGCGCATCACAACCCCACCCTGAATAAGGAGCCACTCTAGAACAGAGACTGAGGAACCGCGTGCCTGAGTCCCCCATCTCCCCTACACTTTGCACTGTGTCAGGACATCAGCAAAGGTTTACCGAGAAAAGAAAAAGCAGGCTCGCCGTTTATGGAATGGCAAGACTCAAATGGGAGCATGTTTGCTCACCCAGTGATTCTGTGCATTTGAGTCATCCCAGAAAGAACAATTTTCAGGACCAGAAGAGAGCACAGAGGCATCCTAGTCTGACCACCTCTTTCTGCCGGGGTGAGGGTCCCCTATGCCCAGACTCATTCTACACGGATGGCGGAAAGGTGTAACTTGGAGAAATGGGAACTGTCCAAGTTTTCAGCCTGCTGCCTTTGCTTTTCTCTGCAGAGTTCCGAGAATGATCATTTCTGTTGCTCTCCCAACTTCACCCCAACTCTGTGGGTTTAAATGGAGTCAAGACTGCACCGTCTACTACAGAAAGCATTCTTCCATACATTTATCTTTAAAGCTCTGAAAGCACCCTTCAGTGTGTCTTGGACCAGACTGTAGAGAGCTGTTGAGGCTACCAGGAACCTGGGGTGTGTTTCTCTGACTCTCTCCAGGTGTGAGATTCGGGGAGTTGGGGAGATCACAGTCCCCTAAATCCAGAGCATCTTAGCATCCTGGACAACACCCTTGCAGATTAAAGACCCACATCAGAATCACCAGGGCCCTGGGCTCTCAGAGAGAGGAAGAACCTTGTCAAAGTTCCACTTCTAGTTTGTGGCAGAGCTGGAACAAGGAGTCATAGTTCCCAACTCCAAGTTAATGCTCTGTTCCCCGAACTCACTGACAGGACCTCTGCCCAACCAGAGGCAGGATTTTCTTCATAGAAACCTCTGAGATGGGCCAATGCTAAGACCTTGCACAGGCAGTGACATTTGTAAAGGCTTAGTCAGGACAATTCACTGCAAAATGCTCCACACATTATAGGTGGATGGTAAAAGGAGGAATGGACATCACTCTGGGCTTAGAAGACTGTCAAGCATCAGGGTGTTGGCATGCCACCCTCTCCCTGGGTCCAGGACTCCCGCCAGCTTAGACAGAAGAAGAGAAGGGTAACAGAGACCCAACAGGCTGCATTAGCATTTTTCCTGTCCAGTAACCTCTAAGGACACACACAGAACCTCTAGGAGCCCGCCCCCCTGCCATCATCCCAGGTCCCCAGACCCCCCACAGGCATGGCCTCTTACCTGTTGATAGAACTGACGCTAGGCACTGTGTCATTGTCACACACCCGCTCCGCCAGCAGCCGGTCCCTGATCTCCCAGGCAAACATCGTGGGATTTTGGCGTTTATACTCAGCGATTTTTTCTACCACTTTGGGCGTAGCGACCTTTGGTTTGGATCCTCCAATTACCCCAGGCTTGATGCTTCCCGTCTCATAATACCTAGGACCCAAGGAGAAAGGAGCTTAACCATGAGGAACCAGCAAAATGGATATTGGCAGCAAAATAATGGGCTACTCTGTCCAGGAAACATCCAGATCTGCACGTCCCAATGCGAGAGTCACCAGCCACATGTGGCTTTTAAACATTTGAACTGTGGCTGGTCTGAATCAACATGTGCTGTAAATATAAAATACATACCAGATTTTTAAACCTTAGCACAAAAGAAATGTAAAATATCTCATCAATAATTTTATACTGGTAATATGCTGAAATATTCTTTTTTATAAATAGGGCTAAATAAAACATATAATTAAAATCAATTGAATCTATTTCTTTGTACTTTTCTTACTGTGCTACTAGAAAATTTAAATTTGCACACACGGCCCACATTATATTTCTATTGGACAGCACTGGTAGGAGATTGCATTGGCAAAATTCTTTCAACTACATCTACCATTTTACAGTTTACAGAAAACTGTCAAGTCAGTTTTCCCATTTGCTCTTTGACAGTTCTAAAGCACATTAGCTATTCTGAGTTAATCAAAGAGTGAATGAACAAATAAATGAATAGATCTCCATCTACAGGTATAAAACAGAGATTCATAGAAGTTAAACGGCTTCCCTGAGGTCACACGAGACCAAGTGGCCAAGTTAGGACTGTGGCCCAATCTCTTGAGCTAATATTTTCCCAGCAAGGTGGCTTAGACCTTTGATTTGCCAACTATCCTAACCCCTAGCAGAATCCTCAGCATCATGTGAAACGGTCTCCTAAAATGCAATTTATTTTTCCATAAGAGAAAAAACAATAACCCTGGCATAAAATTAAAAGAAGTGTTGAATTCCAGAATTAACTGGAAATAAGTGTTGGAAGTCAAAACCCAAGCAATCAGAAAAACCAACCGCAAGTGGCGGCAGCTCTTCCAGGGACCTCCCCTGAGGTAAATGGCTGTTTCTAAGGACATTTCCATGCTATCAGCTTTTCCTCGTTAACAAAAATAGGATGTCAGAGTTTTATAGTAAAACCAAGACCAGGGAGAAGAGTGCCATGAAAGATCATTTCGGGGGAAAAAAATGACTTGATTCCTTCTCTGAATCTGAGCTGTCTCTGGATATCTCTCTCAGTGTTTACAGAGGAATTTTTTATTTCCTCTTCCAAAGGAGATTATCTTGCAGTTGATGTTTTTTTAAATCAAAAAAAGACATTTCAGAAATGATTAGTAATTTTTAAACCTAACAAGAGTTTATAATAGGAAAGGGACCGAGGTGATTCCGGGACTGGTGGGAAATGTTACCCCAGAACAATGACCAGTCACATTTATAGAAATGGTGAAATTCTCAGCCTGGGTAAGCCTGGTTAAGGCCACATTAGTGAATTTTCTAGAAGGGATGAAATAATTTGGGAGCAATTTGATGGGGAAGTGAAATTTCTATTTTTCACTGAGAAGAGTGAGTCATTTACAAATTTTTTCCATAAGGCTAAACTCAACTTATCCTCCTTTCCAAAAAAAATTGCTTTCAGTAATTTTTCTGTAATTGCTGAAAAAGTGTTACTCACAAACAGCTTTTTAACAATATCCAATAAAATACTCTTTTTGCCAGAAGTATAGAAAAGTACCTAAATCAAGAAACACAGCAATCTCTGCAGCCACCAATTGTTCTATCAATTTTACAATAGAAAGTCAATGTTTACTATAACAAGACTCATGATCAAGGCACAGCACTCTAAAGTTTACAGAACTCTTCCTCAAATTATTTTGCTCATCACACCAATCCTGTGAGGCCACAGGGCTTCAGAGAAGGGAGAGTAAATGATCAGAAGACAAAGTGACTTGCCCAACTCCCTTCTGTAAGTGAAAGATAGCTTCAGCTTTCAAACCTGACTCTAAATCCAGTGCTCTTCCCACTAGAGTTACCTTAGTAATAAGATGTAAAATATTAACAATCCCTTGCAATTGCAGAGAGCTTTGCTGCTTACTTGTCATTTTCACACGCATTTTACATTCGTTCATTCACTCAATAGTCACCACGTTGCCTATGAGGGCAGGCACAATCGCAGGGAAGGGGTTACAGACACAGAAAACCCTGTGCTGAATACTCAAAACATGTTAGTCAGATGGGCCTGCAACATTGACACAGCACCTCTGAGAGGGTGGCAGGTTGAAGCCCCCCAGCCCCCTGCTTACATGGCTGGTGAGCGGCAGTGCTCAGGGCTCCCTGCTCATCCCACCTGAGCAGCGCCAGCCGGGGGAGACTGTGGTCTTGACATAAGAGGTCTCTGTCTTCCCTTTGACTGACACATGGGCAAGGCACTTAGAAGGCAACCCTGACACTCCTGAAACCCCAACTCGAAACTGTGTCAAGTGAGGATTCAGACTTAATAACTCTCCTTTCATCTCAGCACAACAGCCGTGCAGCCCTTTGGCTTACAGACAAAAGACGATCGGCAGCCACCAACACACAGCATCCTCGGGTGCAAAGAGCATTCGTTTAGCAGTCAAGAGGTGTAGGTACTGGTCAGGGGCCTTGAAACGAACTTGCTGTGTGATCTTGGTCAACTCGCTTAGCTTCTCTAGGCCTCAGTTATCCCATTTCTATAATAGGGGAGGGTGCTTGCCCTGCTTGCCCTGCAGGGCTGTTGTGAAGACAGAAATGCAGTTGGTTAAGAAAAAGCTTTGCAAGACATAAAATAAAGAGCACGTGCTGAGGACTAAAATCCCGTGTGTTTCCTATTTCTGTGTGACATACCACCCAATTCCAAGTGACCTGAACCTTCCAACCAGGCTCCAGTGAAAACAGACAACTGCCGGGCTCTGGATGGATTTAACTCAGCCTCACATGCCATCAAGCTGTGCCTCGAAAGTCCCTCTGAAGCCTTGAGCTCTGTAGACTGAATGCCCACACTCCTGGCAGACCGCCCACCTTCCTGAGATGATGGGGGTCCCTGTCTGCCCCAGGGACTCTGTCTGCTTTGCCATACACAGCATCTGAAAATCACAGCCACCACATACCACATGCTCTCTACAATCTGTCACTTTGTGTGCGCCCATCAAATTCTTCTGTGACCAAAAAAAAAAAAAAATCTGATCGAACAGCCCGTTAAGAAATTCCCAGTCACACTGTTTTAGGGCTGAACTTGTTTCTTAAAAGGCAGTTCTAATTAGAGTGACATTTTGTCCACTGTGGTTCTTAGTTATGAAAATAATGAGCTATGAAATTCCAATTTATTGTTGACAACTTAAACGGCCAGGCTCTGGAGCAGCACGTAACTTCCGAGTGCCACTCTACCTAGTGACAAATCTATTCGGGGCCGCAGGAGGATGCCCGCTTGGCTTAGAAGGGTCCCTGTCCCCCTCAATCTCTGTGGGAGATTTGGAGGACTCTAAAGCACAAGAACACGAAGGCCTGGCATCTGGATGTCCCCTCTGAAAAAGGTTCGATATCTTTCCTTGAGAAGATTTCAAACAGCGAGCAAAATGTCGGCTCAGCAAAGATGTCTCGGCAAAAACAAAGGAAGGGCCTTCTTTCTCTCCCCCTCTCCCTCGTACAATGAAGAGGCTCCACAAAAAGACATTCGAGAGCCATTCGGCTCTAGAAGTCTGATACTGAGAGAGTCTAAAATATTGATCTTCTCTCTCTTTCTCCTTCTATCTTGTCTCCAATTTTCCATCTTTCCAATGATCTGTCTTTGAAAAAAATCAGTCTCTTTTTGTTTTTCTCTTCTCTTTCTCTTTTTTCTATCTCTCTGTCTCCTACTTTTCTCCTTTTACTCTCACTCTCATCCTCCTTCCTAAAACAGCCACCTAACCAGAACACCATGCCGATGTCTTGCATTCCTCTCTTCCCAATGTCTAGGGCCCATGTGCTGCTGAGTGCTAAACAGGAGTGGAGCCCATAGCCCCCACAACTAAGGCGACCAGCACTGGGCCAGGGGATGGGGGATGAACACACAGGTCAAGGTCCCTTAAAGGAGCCGCCAGATCCCTGGCCCGGAAACTTCTTCCTTTGGTCTCAAGCAAGGCTCCCCAAGGTTATTAGAGAAGAAATTCATCTGAGAGAATTTCTTGAATTCCAGCAGATGAAAGGAAAAGAGAAAGCAGAAGGTCACCATGCTACTGACATCCTTCAAAATATTTATTTTCCACACAGGCATAAGGCGAACTACAGGACAAAGGTTGTTTTGTGGCCCTGGGAAAGAAACAGTGAGAAAGCACTGAACAGCTAAACCCAGGGATGCTCCTGCCTGCCAGGGTGGACCTGTAACAGCATCACATGCCTGGAAACAAAACCTGTGGCTTTGTGTTGGGATATGGTGAGACAAGGATGGTCTAGGGGTCCTTAAGACCTCATCTCAACCCGAGTACCACTTGGCTGGATAAACCTGGGTCAGTCCCTTTACCTCTCTAAGTTTGTTTCCTCATCTTAAAACAGGCTTCACCGGACTGTGCTGAGGCTACTGAGAAAATAAATAGGAGTGCTAAGAGGCTGAACAGCCCTTTGGGAGAATCGTCATTGTTAGTATTTTGCTTGCAGCAAATCGCAGGGTCAAGTGGCAACTTTCAAATGTCAGATCTGAGAGATAGTGTTTAGATTTTTTTTCTGCTCTCTAATTTAATATATACTTAGGATGCCTGTCATTATGAAAGAAACAAAACAGAGAAGGAAAATCCTGCAGCCCAACATAATAAGGTTGATAATAACCCCAAAATGAAAATGACAGCTGAATTTTAAAGTGGAATGTGCTTTTTGAAAACATTAAAATGAAACGTTGAACTCTGGTTGTGTGACGTTAAGGATTTTCCACCCAGTCCTGCTCACGACCCTGGCTCATCTAAGATACATAGTGGAAATGTCCAAGAACCTCTTACTCTTGAGTTCTTTAGAACAATTCACTAGGGTTTTAGAAAATGTGTTATCTCGCCTAAGTCGCCCTATTCTACATGTCACTTGAGTCAGGGGTTTCCCAGAGTGACTGAATTGGATGGCCTCAAAAGAGCTTTGTAAACTCTAAAGTGCTCCGTGTGTGGGGGAAATGGTGCCAGATTCTCACTATGACACTGGCACACTGGACAGCTGCTGGGTCATGTTTAGGTCTTTATTTGAGAGATCAAGGGAAGCCTGGAGCTCCTGCCTTTACCTGCCGAGAATTTTGCTGACACAACCATGGCTGACCCGAAGCTGCCTGGAGATGTCGCAGGGCCTGACACCTTGATGAGCAAGTTCCACTATCCTTTGGCGGACTACATCCGGGAGTGGCCGTCCGTTCACAAAAACCCCCCCAAGCTGATTCACTCCTCCATGTCCTGAAACAGATCAGAAACAAAAGGAAAGGGAAAGGGTGATTAGAACCAGTCACATAGTAGAAGCACCATAGGGAGCACCCAGAGCCCTTCTGATCACAAATGGCCATCAGGCTGGATGTCTTGCGCCTGGAGTCCGATTATACAAACTACAAGAGGATCCCAGACTGCTTTTTAAAATTAATCTTGGCCTTTGTCCATCTGCAGTCAATTGAGCCATTGACAGCAAGCACCCCCTACTACATTTCTTTTAGTTATTAGCATTTTCCTTGTAATTTTTTTAAACAATGAAATACGTGAACACCCCGATCTATACTAAAGAGGCACAACTTATATGATGCTGAGGCCTGAGGAAGATCCTGGGAGAAAATATGTTTTAAAAGATATTAAATTTAAAGAGAAAAATATTAAAACTTTTCATTTCAACAAGCATCTTTAAAAGAAGGACTACTCCAAAAAACCTACATCTCAGGAAAAAAATGTAATCAGCAATCTAATTCAAGAGCTAAGGACTTGAAAAAAAATTTTTTTAAATAGCATCTGCAGAGTACTGAGAAAAAACCGACCAACCACTGCCTTGTTAAAAATCCTTCCTTCAAGAAGGCGAGGCTGGCATACAGACTTGACCACTGCACCTTCTCAGAGCACACAAAAGAAATGGGTCCGAGAATCTTCTACACGTAGCATATTCCACTCCACTCATTAGGATTTGTTATAAAGGCCTTTCCCTGGAATTTTCGGAGTGTTTTACAATTGACAAACAGCCTTCATTTGGTTCCAGGGGAAATAGAGAAATCAAAGAAAGCTTCTGGGTTCCAGGTTTTACAAGGGTCCTATGATAGATTTTAAGTAGAAGGAGTCTGGGAAAGTATATCCTCCACCCATCTGCCACCGTCTCTTATATCAAGGTCCATGTGGAGAGAAACAGGGACCCAAGTAAATAAAGAGCCAAACCAGTAACCACAGAGTGATCCAATGTGCAACATCTTATAGCTGTTAATCAGTCACTAACTGACGTTGCTGAAGATTGGAGTCATAAGCCAAGTTCAAGCATTTACTGATGCTGCTGGTAGCTCAGAGGCAAAGGAAGGGGAAACCTCTCCTAAACTGAGACTGGGCAGGGACTAGACCGTGTAAGGGGAACACCTCAGAGGTCACTTACACACACACACCCTCCAACAGAAAGTACACTCCGCTATACGTACTCCACGGATACACTCCAACTCTAAAATATCGAAAAGCCACTCAGCTCAGCTATTTCCCCCCAGGACTCAACTACTACCCAGGTTCACGAGTCACACCTGAAACAGAGAGGACAAAAGCACCCATAAAATCACCTATTTCCTAAAAACTGTCCTAGCAATCCACAGAAGTTTCCCATGAATATTTCCCAGAACTTCCAAGCTCAGGCTTATTTAAAACAAAAACACAATTTTACAGATAACTGCAGTAGTTAGTTCTAGTTCTAAGCTGAATTTCTCTCTGATTTCAATATGAGCTTTTCTGAGTTTTGATTGTTCTAAAACACTCCAGACACTAGAAGAAGGAAAATGATTCCAAACAGGATTTTGCAGTCAGGAACACAATTGCATAGTTTACCTAAAACAGAAAGGCTGCAGCCACCCTGGTCAAGAGTCTTAAGAAGGCTTTGTTCTGGGGCTGGAAGCACCTAATAAAAAAGGGTTGTACAGATCCTTCAAGAGCAGACTGGATTTAAATAAAAGAAAATAAATTCAAAATTGGTATGAACGCATCTGGGAAGACAAAGGGCAGGCAAAGGAAGGGGAAATACCCAGCACACTTTTGATATGACCTGGGAGTCTAGGAACTGTGGCCCATGTGCAATAGCCTATTCCCCACATCTCTGGCCATTGAGACTTTTTGCCCAAAGCCCAGCGGCAACCTTCAGAGGACTCAGAGTCCGAAAGCAGTCTTGTCGGGCATTTGTGAGCTTTTGGAGTTATTTCGTATCATGGGGGGGGGGACTCCAAAGGTCTCTTAGAGCCTGGTCCCTCTAAGTGACAGCAGGTCCCCAAACCTTCTACCCTTGACCACAAAGGCTGAGCTGCTAATGCTCTTCCATAGTCTAATGCATAGGTCTACAGTGCATAGGTCTACCAGACCCAGGATGACCTGAGAGCCTTTTACCTCCCTCAACTTTCTAGAAACACCCCCAAGTCCACTTGGTGCTCTCTACCTCAGTTACAGTCCTACCCAAAAGAGCTCTAGGAAGGTGGTGATGAGAAGATTGACAGCTGTGGTTTGAGGAAGGCCACTTACCCTGGGATTGGAAAGAAGTGAAACCCGAAGTCTGAGAGAGAGAGGAGGCAGGACAGGGAAGGAAAAGAGGAAAAAGAGAGGAGTGCAGAGAAGGGTGCAAAGAGTAGGGACTAAATGAGACATACAGCAAGGGGAGCGGGCCTGGAAAGGAAGCAGTAGGATTAGGCAGGCAGAGAAGAGAGAGTAGGGGAGAAGCTGGAACAGGCCACGAAACGAAAGGTGAACACAGTACATAGCAGGAAGCAACCACAGAGAAATGGAGGAAGCCCAGGAAGGGAGGTTCTAGAGCACAGGGAACTTCTGTGGATGGGGGACTTTGTTTTCTGGGGACCCAGCTCCAGCCCTACATCTTCTTAGAGAACCCAAGTCCCAGTCTCTACTTCCTTTGAACTCCAATTTGGTGAGGGCTCATCCGATGGAAAGGTACCTGAAGAAGACATGGACTCAGCTACATTTTTGCAGGGGAGGTAGAATTTACCAAGAGACTGACACAGAGACAGATGTGCACAAAACAGGTGAAGACCAGGAAACAGACCCACAGACACAAGAGGAACAGGCAAGGTCCCAAAGGGCAGACTGAGTAAGGTTTGAAGGGGGATGGGGAGAGAAAGATTGACTGGCAGATGCCCCTGGGGCCTTTGTGGCTCTGGTCCGGAAGGGGCTGGCCTCCACAGATACTCCTCAGGCTCTGATAAGGACTTGCTACCCACCGGGAGACCTGTCCATACCCCCAAAGGCCATGGCTGGGCATGAGGTCTTGGATCTTTGCTGATCCAGGATCTTTGCTGACCCAGTCACAGATTCAACTCCAGGACCCACAGGGTCATTAAAATTCCTCTGAGATGCACCAGAGAGAAAGAGTGAAGGGGCCCACAGACAGGCCAACAGGAGCACAGGGAAAGGGCGGGGATGCAATCTCCCTAATGGACCTCCAATGGATAGACAGGTGTTGACACACACAGACAGTCGGACTTGGACACAGATATGGTTGGACTAGACAGAGCTCTGCACACGTGTGTACTCACCCACACAGTCCATTGCCCTCTCTCTGGAAACTGAGTCCCTCCCTCTCTCCTTCTGTGAATCCTCTGAAGCCTAAATTTTATACCTTTGTCAAACATTCAGAGAGACCCAAGAACCAGCTCCAGCTCTTCCCATGTGAATTTCCTGTCCGTTCTTTTGTCTCTCTATCCTCAGTATCATATTCTGTAAAATGGGCGAGGCTAAAGATTTAGGTGACACTCTAGTAGGAAGAACACTGGCTATGAAAGTGCTTTATAAGTAGTAAAGATACCTGTGGGAGGGAAATATCTCAGGAGGGGGGCAGGATGATTCCGGAATAGGGCCTGCGGGCACAATGGAACTCAGAAGCCCATTTCCTGGAAATGCCTGCCGCTCCCCACCGATTGTCCTGCTCTGAAGACGGGAGGAAGGAAGCAAGAGAGGCCCCGGGAGAAACTGACCAGGGCCAGAAAGGAAAAGGAGGAGGAGGGACTTGGTCTGAGCCGCTATTAACCTAAGCCACACCCCAGAATATACTGTGCCCCCTAGCCCCATCGCCAGCAAGTGGGGGCCCCAGAGCAGGCCTACGCTGTGCAAACAAACAGCTTCGGTCGTGAGAGCCGACAGCACTTGCAGAAAAGCCAAGGGCTTGCACCAGCTCGGGAAGCTAGGCTGGCTGGGGCCCAGCCCCCACTGAGCTGCCAGGGAAATTGAAAATGGGAGGGAGCACTTCCCGCGGAGGGGCAGATTGAAGGCCAGGACAAGGAGGCACACACATTAGCGGTTGGCTAACCTGCGCCTGGAAGGAGCTGCCTTCTCCACGCTGATGCACAGCCGAGAGACCACCGGGTCTGATGCTCTCTCCCCAAGGGCCAGGGCACGACCTCTGGGACGCAGAGCTCTGGGCAGAAGAGGCAGGGAGGGCCCGTGGATCCCCGCCGGGGAAGAGAAAGGCGCAGGGGCTGGCCCTACCCATCTTGTCCCCCCAGTTGCTCCTTGGCTGAGCCAAGGGCTTGCCTACCTCTCAGAGTATTGCCCCCAACTCGTTTGTTGTCGGGCGCACACTGCGAGATCAGAACCTCCCCAGAGCGGGGCTGGAGTCCGGGCTGGAAAAGGCTGCGGACGGCGCTGGGGTCACCGCAGACTGGAAACCGTTTGGGCACAGGCCCCAAACGGTGAGGAATCGTTTGGGCCGGGACCAGACCAAGCGGCTTCTCTGCACAAATTTCCCCCGCGCTTTGGTGGATTACTTGCCTCGGGAAATTGACACAAAGAGAAACTGACCTGCCCGCAGCCAGCCCGGGCTCTCCAGATCAGCCTTGGCAGCCCGCTCGGCCCTCCGTGGCAGACACGAACGTACTCGCCCGGGAAGCTCGCCTTCTCTCCAGCCGGGTCTCTGCTGCCTTTGTTAAAATAGGGGGACCCACGGCTGGGAAAACCTGACCCAGGAGAGCCGGTCGTGGAGAGGGCTCCCGGCCCCGGAGCGACTCCTTGACCCGCAGCCCGCAGAGACCCGAGCCGGGCACCGACTGGAGGCTGCCCAAGCCCGGCGCCTTCCTCCAGCCTGGCTCTGCAGCAAGCGGAAGGGAAATGCGATTCGTTCCACTTGGAATTCCTTGAAATCTCCGAGTCTAATCCAGCATTAACTCACCGTGAGAGGAGCGCTCGTCTCACAGGAGGCTGTGCTAACGGGTGAACTGGCGGGATCCCCGCGAGTCAGG